TCTGTCTAGATACTAATCCCCAGCACCACATAGAGGTGCCTGCCCATGCTGGGGGCCTTTTATACATACGAGATCAGTATTCACGTGACATCGGCATGTCGGGGGTTAAATCGCCGACTTCAACTTGTTTTCCTTTTTCGGTCGGGACATTCCATTTTCTCTCCCAGGACGCAACAGGACGAACGCAACTTAAATGACGTGTGGAGAGCCCTCAGCCCGTTTGATTTCAAACCAATCTGATAGAGACTTTCGATATCGCAGCTTCTCCGACATGTTCTGTTGTAATCGTTCGAGAACAATTGTGTTGCCTACCTCAGTGGGGGAAAGGCTCAAAGCTCCGGACTGGTTCCTACCCACTTAGTTACCGGGCAGAGCGGAGTCTCAGAACCGATGTTTTATCCGCTCTGAAAGTTAACAGATGAGAACAATGGGTTTGGGTAATGTAAATCCCCTGGGATTTTACATATATTGGATTGCCTTGCCGCTTCTTTGTTTAACCATTTCTGATTCTTCGTCCTGATACCATTCTGTTAATACTCAACATTTTATCATCACATCCCAACAGAAGAACCAGCCCATAAATCTCGATTATTAGAGATTGCTTCTGCTCTCAAGTCAAGCCTGAATACCCCTAGCTCTCTCGCTCTCTCTATTTATACCATATTTCTTGACATCAGATACTATACGTCTTCAGTCCAACATTCACCACAGATTTCTGGACAAGGTCCTCCGCACACGATGGTCTGCTTGCCTCTACCTTCCTTGTTTCGCATTCAGCCAAGTTATTACTTCTGGATATCTAATACTTTAGGTTAGGCTTCCGCTAGCATGCCTAGGCCTCCATATGCCCTACCATTTGCCAGTCTCGGTGGAGCTCCAACCGTTGGTGTGGATGTGCCGATCTCTGCTATTTTTTTGGTCATCTTCGTCATTGGTGCCGCATCCCATATGTACCGTTTCAGGACCAACCTCGCCAAAGGACATAAGTTCATCCCCTCTGCTGCAACATTTGGTTTTTGCATGGCTCGAATCATGGCCAATATTCTCCGCATCGTTTGGGCCACACGGCACACCGATATCAAGGTCGCAATTGCTGCTCAAGTTTTCGTTTCTGCGGGCGTTCTCCTGTTATTCATTCTCAACCTTATATTCGTACAACGTATGCTTCGTTCAAGTGTTCCAAGGATCGGCTGGTCTCGGCTATTTTCCTACTTTGTGAAGTCCTTGTACGTGATAACAATCCTCACCCTCATCATCGTTATCACTGCCACGGTTCAGAGTCTCTATACTCTCGACACCAATATCCGACGCATCGACCGTGACCTTCAGCTCTATGCACTTAGCTTCCTTACATTCCTCGCCTTTCTCCCGCTGCCGATTCTCGCATTCATCTTCTCGACCTCTCGGAAGCCAGTTGACCCATTTGGATCTGGTAGCTGGGCATCTAAGGGACTTATTGTGGGAATTTCCGGCTGCCTCTTAACTCTTGGAGCAGGGTTTAGACTGGGAGCTAACGCCATGCCTCCGAGGCCCATTTTGAATCCAGCTTGGTACCAGCACAGAGCTTGTTTCTATATCTTCAATTATGTTATCGAAGCAGCGGTCGTGTACCTATTCCTCTTTGGCCGAATAGATCTTAGGTTCCACGTCCCTAATGGCAGCTCCAAAGTCAAAACTTACAGCAAGGCAGACATGCTTGAAAAGAATCCCGATGGGGCTAATGAATCCCAGCCGACAAAGCAGGAACCCTCTGTTGACTCAGATGAGACCCTCTAATGATAACGCTTACCAGTTCTTCGATTATGGAGTTATTCTCAGCCAATAATTATCTTTGATTCTTCTCATTTTGTATTTGTATTTTCATTTTGTTTTATTCTCATTTGGCTTATACAAATTTATACAGTGCATCGGTTTCATACAAAGAATCAGGGTGACTTATTTTCAATTTTTATCAAGCCGGATAAACTGCTATTTACATTTGCACTGCCACTGCCTTTCAAATTCTCGTGTTTTCGCCCTTCTGACACAAACAGTATTCGACCGATACATAGCCACGGTTCCGGATTCAAACAACGCACTTCAGTGGCCTTCTAATGGAAAACCCAGGTACCTTGAACCTCCGTCCACCAAAAGTTCCGTCCCTGTGGTATAAGTGGCATCGAACCCCAGCCACACTGCTGCCTTAGCCACCTCTTCCTGGGTACCAACTCTCCCCATAGGGGTTGTGCTGGCCCCAATACCCAAGAATTTCTCCTTATCTTCCGCCGGAAGACCTCGAACCCCCATTGATGGTGTATCCATAAATCCAGGGCTGAGAGAATTCACCCTAATTCCGGCCTTCCCATCCGGCCTGCGAGCAAGCTCAGCCGCAAGTGTTTGAGCATACGAATATATGGCAGCTTTTGATGCCGAATATATACCCATGGTAGGATACCCGGATCCAATAGAGACGCTGGTGGTGAACACAATCGATGAACCGGGCCGCATGTGAGGGACGAGTCGTTGGGTCAGGAAAATAGGTCCTCGAGTGTTTGTGTCGAAATGCATGTCATAAAATTCCGCTGTGGTGGCAATGGCTGGAGCGAATCCTGCGTATCCGACGTTAACGAAGAGGAAGTCGATAACCTCGCCGGTACCGAAAAATGATTCAACTCGTTTTTCGATCTCGGCGTGGTCATCGTGCGAAGTTATGTCGGATTGAATTCCAACAGCACTGTCTGCTTGAATGCTATTAAGCTCTTTCTCAGCGGCAGCAGCTGGCTCTGGGCGCCGGCCAGTTAGAATCAACTTCCCGCCTTGAGAGACTATGGCTTTGGCAGTTGCGAGGCCCAGGCCATGGGACCCTCCGATAATAACGGTATTTTTGCCAGCGTATGCCATTGTGGTTTTGAATTGGAATATAAAACGGGTTGGTATGGTTTGCCAGGGGCAGCTAAGGGAAAAGAAGAGGTAGATGTTATTTTGCTTTTTGGTTGATGGATGATGGATGATTTGAGAGATTACTCTCATCCCATGGCGTCTACGGCTCCTTTTATATCTACGATTCCATTAGCTAGATACTAATACAAGGAGTTAAATGATAGGCAGAGAATTGACCTGCATCACTATTTCTTTTGTTCTATTGTATGAGAACATAATATTAATGCAAACATGATTAGGAATCCGTGCTCGTATTGATGTATGAGAAGTGGATAGAACAAACAAAACAAAAGATTCAAGCTTTGATGCAAACAAGACAAGAAACAAAATATTGATAAGCCCTGACAAGGATACGAACTAGCGTTAACAAAAAAAAAAAGTAATGGTTTTCTGACGATCTCGTATTATTATTATCCCTGGAATAAAAATGACGAAAATGAATTAAAAAGAAAGGACAAAAAGAAATGACACCGCCCAGGTTCGAACTGGGGACCTTGAGTGTGTTAGACTCACGTGATAACCAACTACACCACGGTGTCGCTTATGGAAGGCGCAGCCGGCGAGCCAATAAGAGCCTGTGGGGTCACGTGGGGGTTAATCAGCACCCAATTAGGAAATACACGCTAACCGCTTAAGGGGCAGTAGTTCGTATCTCCAGTATCCCCAATCCAACGGAAATGGACAACATCAACTAGCTTTCGCAGGTTTGCAGGATCAAGAAAGCTTCTGGTCAGATCTGCCATCCATGCAATGCTGTTCTCCGCTATGAACCGATGGGTCTGGTATTGCTTATCCATTTCCTTGCGTGTCATGAAGAGGTTGGAGCATCTAGCTCACCCAGAGTCCCATATGGCTTCAATGCCTCTATCACTTTGGCATAGTGACTGTTGTTTTCAATTGAATCGTATTTGCAGGCTGGATACCGCTTGATATCGGAAACATTGCCGACTATTTCATATGTTTTGTGATGGGAAGACATCACTATCCAGTTGACGAACCCGAGGACAACCAACGCGCTCAGTCTGCCTGATTCGATGGCCTCCGCTGCCATACTAAGGGTCGACGCAAGGGTAGAATCAAGATATTCACACAAGCACCCTCGAACCCCACGGATCACCGTGTTCTCCCTCTGTTTTCTCCTTGTATCGCTTCGCAAGTCTGCTAGGTCACCTAGCAAGCTGCAGACATCTGTTATTTTCATAAACCCTTCTTCTGATAATTCCTCGCCAGTAGCCTTGGAGGCGAAAAACACGCCTACATATAGTGCGAGGCCGATGTGTCTATGGACCGATATCCCTGACATATGGCTTCCGTATATCCCGCCGGGAATTCTGTGGCGCGTATGGTCTCTATAATATCCGAGTACTCTGAACTGGATAAGGCTTGAGACGAAATTATGATATTGTCAGTCTGTGAAATGGCCTCCCAGGTGGCAAAGCCTAATAAATGCCAATGCCGCGCCTCCAGTTCTTTGAAGTGATTTAATCTCTTCTTTCTCTGCTGCCTCGCAATAATCCCCAATTAGAATATCGTTTCCTGCGTCTGCCATCGCTCGAGCTAGCCCTTCTTCTATCATTCCCGCGCTGCATGCTACAGCGAAATAATATTTAGCATCTGTGCACAGTTTGATTTTCTCCGTTGTCGGATACAGTCGATGGTAGATTTCGGCAGCAGTATCATGTCGCTTGTGAGGCCGTCGGTCCGGCGCCTGGACGTAGGGTATCTCGTTCAAGGTCTGAGGGCCTTGACAGATATCCGGCAGGGGCTGGGTGTTGGCATTGAAATGAAGCGCTTCAGAGACGGCCAAACTCAGCTTTTCTGGTGAAAAAAGGCCTCCCTCAAGATACCATTCGTCGTGTCGTTGGATTACCTTCTGCGTTGCGGCGAGCATAGTTCTGACGGATACGCACTGAGAGTGTGCTTCAATATCCATATCATCCGGGACGGAGTAAACCCCATCACAGTCACAATCAACCCGTGGATCGTATTTTTGGGATAAGATGTCGATTACTGGGTCAGAGGCAGGGGTTTTACCTCCCATGGTTATCTGTCCCTCACGCAGGTAGTATTGAAAGGCCTGAACTGCTTTGTTTATCATCTGGGCATCGGTAAGGCTGCAAAGCGATTCTTCCGTGAAACAATCGATTAGCTCGCGAAGGCTGATATCTGGCGGACTAATCCCATCTGACTATGAGAGCCAGCTCTTAACCCCAGGATAGGTAGACATTAACTGTGGGCTTCTCGACTTCTTCGAGACTATCACTGACGCCTGGAGGACGCATTTTTATGAAATGATATCCTGATACAGGGGGAAAAATAATTGATGACTTTTTTTTACAATCGAAGGGGGATCACTTGGACCTTCTTATACTCACCTATATTGCATATCGGAACTTCGCTACTGATAACAACTATAGTTCACATTATTCTGTACCCCTCCCGTACCCTCCACTTAGCGTCGCGCATCCGGCCTGTCCCAGCTACAATCCCAATTGCGGCGAGGTGGCGTTCATGCAAGGTCTCATTTGTGTAAGCTTATCCTTTATCTCCGGCTAAACACTATCAGAATCGGGTAATCCATACACCCTCCGTACATCGATTGCCATCCTAAATTTCGGTCAGCTGGCGTAACCTCACTCCAAATACCTAGATAGTCAGTTGTCTATTCAACTCAATAACTACCTAGATACCTAGTTGTGTGGCACAAAAAGCAAATAATAAACGGCTATCTGGGAGCATGCAGAATATGTTCCTGTAACTGTCTTATCTACTGTTTGTTGGCATCTAAAAAAAGGGGGGGTGGGAAACTTGTAGCATGAGAAATCAGGAACTAAAAATAATTAATGCTCGGGATTTCAACTCTATACTTTTGGTCTGCATTTTCATAGCTAACTTGAGTGGGGGGGTATTCTAATTCTTTTTGTGGTTTCATCATTCTTTCTCTTCATTTCGTCTTTCCTGCATCTCAGGCCAACAGTAGCCTCAGCTAAGGATAAAATATAGAAAAAAAAACTGTGCAAAGAGCCGGTAACTAGGTGGAAACGAGGGTGAAAACCTGAACATTATATGCATCATATAAGCCCAGCTATTCATTCAATCACAACCGCAATAAGATAAATCGTTCATTGGATTCCCTGGGCACATTTAGAGAAAATGCAGACAGGAAGAAGAATTTATTAGAAGAGGAGCATAGGAAATATTATTTGGTTTTTCTTTGGTCTTTGTATCTAAAGGAAATAATCAGGGGTGCGGCGGGATACCATAGGTTCTCCAGCACGTGGGCACGGGTCAAATTGAAGGCTAGGTCGAAGCGTTAATTGTTAGCCCAGTTCTTTGTTTAGAGGATGAACAAGAAAAAAAAGGATAAAGAAAAGAAAGAAAAGATAGGGCACGGGCTTGAACTAACAAAGTATACTTCAAGTTTTCATCTATTTCCATGATGGCAGCTTGATTACCGCACCTATAGCAGTAATTCGGAGCTATGTGTGGAACCATGTTAGCTAACTTGCTCGCAGCATTAGGGCGATTATCACGGCGACTCTGGCCACATACCTGAGAATATAGTCACTACATTCCGATCTTGGGACCAATTGAAGCCTTCCATCACCAACTGATGGGCTCTCGCAACTAAAGTTAGGCCATTGTTGTGATTGAAAGCCTCTGAGATATCCTGGCCGAATGTATAGCCAGCTCCACGGGGAGAGATACCCCAGCCACACCTGTCATCAGGATCACTCCACAGGAGATCGCACATAGGCCCCTCGTGCGGAACCTCTTGGATGCGGTCAAGGGATCTGATATTATCTAATGTGTCTATGGAAGGGCTCAGCCCTCCGTGAAGGCAAAAGATTTGATTATCAATGAGAGCGGTGAGGGGAAGGTAATCGAAAAGGTCAGTAAAGTATTTCCAAACATTGGCGTTTCCGTATTTCCTTAGGCATTCATCGTAGAAGCCGTAGACTTGTGTTATTTGACGCGATTCGTGGTTGCCACGGAGAATTGTGATCCGTCCTGGATAGCGGATCTTCAAGGCGACGAGAAGCGTGACGGTCTCGACGGAGTAATAACCACGATCAACGTAGTCACCTAGATAACAACAAAGAAAAAAAAGCAGATAATAAAGTTAGCTGGTATCACCCAAATAGGCAAATGGTACAGGTGATAAACTTGCCCATGAAAAGGTAGTTGGTATCGGGATTTGGCCCTCCGATTCGAAATAGCTCCATTAAATCATGAAATTGGCCGTGAATATCTCCACAAACTGTTACTGGACATTTCTGTTGTGGTACAGCGATCAGTAACGGTATGGTTGTTTTCCCTAGCGACCGGTAGCCTTGTGGCCCAAGCTACTCGCAGCGAAAAATAACAAAATGACGGAAAATGGAAAAGTAACGAAACAACAAAGGAAAATCGAAACGTACCACTGCTTGAACATTTGACTCTTCTCGTAAAACTTCTCTCGCCTATTGTGATTTGAGATAATAAACCACGATTAACATTCAACTGGACACACACACAGAGAGAGCGAGAGGAACAATAGCCTAGCCAAGGCGAATGTAGAAGGGACAAGTGCGCACCCGATCACATAACCTCTGAACATCGCTCTCCTCCAACCGTTTACAGGTCATAAGCGACTCGATCCATCCATCTAGGGTAGGTATTGATTCTGGGTCACTGATCAACGACAAACCATGTTGCTCTGGCGATCTCCCAGAATCGATTTCCATTTTACTGTCCATTAGCAGGGAGAACAAGCGGCAGGAGAGAAGCGGTACTCGTCAATGGAAACGGTAAAGAAGGAGAGGGAGGACTCGTGTTGGTCGAGAGATGTCGTGTGGTGCCGATTAGTTAAACCAACGAACGAGGAGGTGTCTTGGAGGGGGGAGCGGAGAGTGGTCTGGGACCCAAAACAAATAGAGATAGCTACAGCAGAGAGAAGAGAATCCAAGCGCCGGAGAGGCAGTACGGGAGAGATCACGTAGATGGGGCAGTTAACTGATTAACGACAAGCGCGCATTGGGGGGAGGGGTGTAGGGGGAGAGAGATGGATAGGGATAATAGGGCTTGTGCTTGGGGGTTTATCTTTGAGTTGAACTTGAAGCAAACAACTCTGCGTGGTCAGCGCCACAACAATAACTAATAAGGAGGCACCAGCCACACCACACACCTTCACCTCACATGACCTCCCCCCCAAGAAGAAGAAAGACAAGAAGACATTAACTAAAGACAAGAGAAGAGAGGCTATAAAGACCAGAGAAAAGAGACATTGACATCGACATTGACATTTTGGGTAACTATAAACTGCAAGCAATAACTATACATCTACAGGTTAACGGACATCGGTAATGGTTAGTTACATGAAACCCCCGCCGAATCCTCCGAATCCTCCTCTACCTCCGGACGGAGGGTAAGGAAAACCTTCGGGATTAGGAACACTTCCACCAGGGAAGTCCCAACCAGGTCCGACAGGGTCATATCTAGCGCCAGGGGGAACCTGTGGGTTATATCCTCCTCCACTACCACCACCACCACCTCCTCC